GTCTTACTGGCATTATCACCTTCTTTGGAGGCAATTGATCTAAAAAAAAAAAATGGCTGTCTTTTAAACAACAGTAGTGGTTTATTTCTTGTTTCCTGTTTAGGATTGGGTTTCAGTTTCATCCAAACGTTTTCTCATTCGCTTTCACTCCCAGTAACCTCTTGCGTCTTAGTGGCATTATCGCCTTGCTTGGGGTGAAATGATTTTAAAAGAAATAGAAAAAAAATTCTTTAATAATACCTTTATTTTGTGACAATATTCCGTTGATAAACTTACCTAAAATGTCTTCTGCTTTCATAAAACTAATTATCTTTAATTAGCATGATATTTATATACGCAGCACTTTTAGTGTTTCTTGTCAATGTCTATAATTTAATAAAATCAACAAGACGGATAATAGACATATCAAAGTACCTCTTGTAATGTCATTAGGCATTGGAATAAAGAGACTTATTTGAGAGAACTTTGTTCTTAGCTCATTGACGTTGTATGACGTGTTATTACGTCATAGATTTTGAGTATGTCATGGATGTAAAAGCCAGCGAACTTTGCCGAGAGCTTCCGAACGCTTCCCGATCATTCTGTGTTCGTTCTGAGTTCTTGTGATCGAAATTTTTGAACACAATAATCTATTTGCGTTTATTTTTTTCTCTTAGAAATTTTCTGGAATTAAAAAAAAAAAAGCACCTTAAAAGAATTTTTTCCTCTAACTTTTATTTTATTTTAAAACTAGCCGAATTACCCGCGCCTTGCTGGGTGTCACACATTTTTTGTAAGAAAATGACGATTGATTTTAAATCATTGTTATAATTTGTGGAGAATAATAATGCATTTCAATTGATCTTGCCAATGTGACCTCCATCTTCTGGTTTTCTCCTTCTATATTTTTGATAGGAGTCATTCCCTTGTTCAAATTTAAATCTAATTTAAATTTGATTTAAATCAAAAGGGAAAAAACTTTCATTGAAGGGGGTGCTCCTCGACCCCCCCCCATTTGATCAAAATGAAATATACTCATGCAAGTACCACAGTAGTCATTACTTTGAAAAAAATTCAGTGGGCGGAGAGGGGGTTGTGCCCACCGGAGAATCCGTTTGATCAAAATGATCTTGCAGATTTGACCTACATCTTCTGGATTTCCCCTTTTATATTTTGGATAAGAGTATTCCCCTTGTTCAAATTTAAATTTAATTTATATCAAAGGAGGAGAAAAAAAATCAATGGAAGGGTGTTCCCCCGGTGACCCTCTTTGATCAAAATGAAATTTACTTATGCAAGTAGTAAGGGTAATGTAGTTTCAGAAGTTATATGGTTATGGGGGTCTATCTCCAAAACCTTAGGAGTTCGATAACAAACAAACAGACACACAGAGGCTACAACTTTATAGAGAGAGAAGTAATGTTTAATTGTCTACTTAAAAGAGTAAAAAAAAGATGGCTTTGTATAAATGGTCTGGTCTACTCGTAAAAAATAGAGAAACATTTGACTCAAGGGTTCCATGACTAATGGGGGTCCGTGACTCAAAAATAGGCTAAGAACCACTGGTCTGAGGAATGCTAATGTAAAAAAAAGTCTAGTTTTATTTAATTGTTTATATATATATATATATATATATATATATATATATATATATATATATATATATATATATATATATATATATATATATATATATAAATTAATTGATTTAAAATATGGGGTTTTTTTTACACAGTTCTAACCATGTTTCAAAAATGGAAGCTAAAAGCTCCGAATTGAATTTTGTAATTAAATTAAAGACATTAGTTCTATTTCATCCTCAAGCGAATTTTGGAGTAACTTTTAAAATTACTGGGTTTTAAAGACACAGCAAAAATCATAATTCACTTTTCCAAGGATACAGAGAAATCCATTCAACCAGACAAGGGGTGTTTGCGTGTTCATTATGGCTTTATTTTGATGTATCCGTTATTAGTTACGTTTTGGATTATATATCTTACTGTTCTTTCTTTATATATATATATATATATATATATAAAGAAAGAACAGTAAGATATATAATCCGGTGTTCTTAGAGATATTTTTATTTTTACAAAATAGTGCTCAATGTAAATTTACAGAGTATTAATATTATAAATTAATTGATTTAAAATATGGTTTTTTACGCTCTCGGCGTGGTGTAATGGTTAGCAAACTTGTCTTGCTAGAACATATTACGACTGAGTAGTGAGTTAGATCCTCAGTGGGTGCTTCATGCTTCCGGCCTTGTGCCACACCTAAGCAGCGCTTAGAAAATCATATATATATATATATATATATATATATACATGAGTTGGCCAGTGTATATAACTAATTTCAAAAAGTAAAATTTAATTATTTTAAAAGAAGGATGTTTTCTTTAAGTTTTTGCTAAAAAATAATATTCTTACAAGATTAAATAAACCGAAAATATTATCCTTTTAACCTTAGAACACTAACCATGGGTATATCGTACCTAGCGCAATTTTTCCTATTTTTAATTACAATTTTCTGTACCTGATCTTACCGTAATAATGTTTTTCAGTTCCTATTAATGTTAACTCAAAGTACACAGTTTGAAGTGCCTGCATGTAAAATATTTCAATTAAAGATTTATATTTAATATATATATATATATATATATATATATATATATATTTTTTTTTTTTTTTTTTTTTTTGATATTTTCAAAATCGGGTATGATATACCCATGGTTAGTAGTGGTGTAACTTTAATTGATGGTTAGTGTTCTAGGGTTAAAATGAATTGTCTTTAAAACCGCTGTGGGCTTTTTATTTAAAAATTAAACTTTAACCCAGCTGGTATGTTATTGTTCAATCTACTTTTTTTATCTTTAATTTTTGTTTTTGTTTTTTTTTTTCTTTTTAATCGAGTTCACTCAAGGAAGGTAGTAAAGCCACTAAGACACAAAGGGTTACTGGGTATGGAAGAATTTGGAGACAGAAATATTTCTAAGTAGCTAGAACAAAAGAAGAGTAATCAGGAGAAAGTGATTGACATTGCATTTAAATTTTGGAAGATTAAAGTTTTCAGGAAAAGCATGGAACCAGTAGAGAGTTCTACAATGGAGAAGTGCAAGAAACGAAGCCGTTAGCATAAAACTTACGGTTACATACAGCCATCTCAATTATAAATTGGTGAGAACTCGTCTCCACTCTACTCAGTCAATTATATACCATGCGTGATTCATGCGTAGGCGATCATGTATCTTTCGATACATGACTGACGAGGCAGATATTTTTTCCCGCAGTAGGTTTCCATTTCTTTCTGGGGTAGACCAGTTGCCATACAAGGCTATAGAACCCTGTTTGTCCTACTATTTACCCATAGCTAGGGGGAGAAGAATAGGATTCATACCTTTCCCAAGGGTCTTAGCACGTAATGGATTCTACTGGAATTCGAACTCGGCTCTCCGATTCCTCAATCCGAGCCGTTACCCATTACTCCACCGTGCCTCGAAATACATAACGTCTAGGTACCATAACAAAGAGCTCATCCGAATAATTACCATGAAAGTGTTTATAGAAAAGGCACAGGGAGCCAACCTTATAGCGGTAGAAATCAACTGAGCTGAGCTGCCATCTCAGGACTAATAATATTGCTGATTCTTCTTTGGATTTTATTAAAGATCTCTAGATATATAACAGGAGCACCGGATCATATGTGGCAGCAATATTCTAAGCATGGACGAATGGTAGACTTATAGATATGCAAGATAGACTCTGGGGATGAAAAGAGCACGATACAGTGAAGTATAATTTTTTAGATTATTTACATTATTCGGACTATTGTCCTCATCTTTGTCGCCATATTTACCACAACGCTCCGGCCTTCTTCAGGTGGTTGGAATGTCGAACTGAACCCTTTTTTTCGCTAACTGGGGTAGACTGTTCTAGTTCCACGTGCGATGTTTGATGGAAGTCAGTTATCAGTTATCTCCTGTTAATTTTCCCTCTGAAAGTTCTCCACTGCCTTAAACGGGTATTGAACTCACACTCTTTAGGTCCTGTCACTGGATCTAACTGTGCCATGTGTCCTTGAGGACATCTGGGTATGAATTTCTGGGTATTATAAACCTAATGTCTTCAGCAACCATTTTACCAGTGCTCGTATTGCAATGTTGCTTATCAATTCATGTTTTTACCAAAGCTCATATTGCAACTTTGTTGTTATCATTGCTTTTCTCTGGCACTCCTTATTACTGGTTCCCATAGTGTATTTATTTCTATGCTTGGTCGGCTCAGGAGATTTTTGTGGCCTAGAATATGTGCTGATTCCTTGTGTTTACGAATAAATGTTTCAGTTCGAAATTCCAACCACCTGAAGAAGTCCAGAGCGTACAACGGCCGAAACGTTGTAATAAATATTGGCGACAATGATGAGGACAATAGTCCGAATAATGTAAATAGTGTACATAATACCTTATCTCAGAAATATAGACAGATACTGAAAGGCCGAAACGTTGTAATAAATATGGCGACAAAGATGAGGACAATAGTCCGAATAATGTAAATAATGTACATAATATCTCATCTCAGAAATATAGACAGATACTGAAAGGCCGAAACGTTGTAATAAATATGGCGACAAAGATGAGGACAATAGTCCGAATAATGTAAATAGTGTACATAATACCTCATCTCAGAAATAGAGACATAATTTTTTAGCTAAACAGCCCACGTCAGATTTCTGTTGTTTTTGTTACTCCCTGGGCATTAGGTAATGATATTAAATTTGCTTGTCTTGGTTACTTAGGTAGCGTTTAGCAAAACCGGAATCTGTCACCTTAACATCCTAATTGTTTCTTCTGTTCAAATGTTGCTCCCTATTATGGAATGTGTTTTCTTTATAAAAAAAAATGTTTTTAATCATCAGACGTTTGATTTTGCCATATTGTTTTCACCCCGACGCGACTCTCTGCTTTTTAAACCCACTTATCTTTATCCAACTATCACGTCCTCCCCATTTGAAATTCGAGATGTCGTTTTTCCACGTTTCTGTAATCAAATTTATCAGTCGACATATTACCAAAGTCTCAACACTTTTTTTAATTGCTTTACGCGGCCTTGTGGGTGATGAATTATTTTCCATCCTACAATCCCGTTCCTACAGATGAAATGTTGCTGACACCTCGCTATTTTTATGCCTGAAGTTCAGACGAGCTGGAGTCTTTTGTTCCACCAACCCAAACCTTCACAGCTAGAACTCGCCATGCCACATACACAGGAAAGACTCGTTCTCTGCGTATTCCATTAGTAAGGAGGAAGTTGTACTCAGGCTGCTTCTTGTTTATTTGGGTTTTTTTTGCTCTTTTTATACAGCAACTGTAGGATCGATTTTTCACTTCTACGTAAATGCCATGTAATGTAACTATAAGTGGCCAACAAACTTCAAGATCGCAATTCTTATTCTTGGAAGCCTGTCGTTTTAATGAATTTTTCTTTCTTCTTTGTTTTTTCTTTGTACTATTAGTACTAAAATCTTCATTTCTCTGTATGGTCTTTATAAAAATATTTTAGTTGTTTGTACTTTTTAAATGAAATATTGTAATTATTCAATTTTTACAGACATTTCTTTCGATTCTCATTACTGTTTTATTTTTATCACAAATCTACAAACAATTCTACAACCATTAAAAAATGGCATAAATCGGAAATAAGTGGCCAACAAGCTTCAAGATCGCAATTCTTATTCTTGGAAGCCTGTCTTAACGTGAAGACGCTTTACCTATTAGGCTACAAAACTACAATCAGGTGCCGTTTAAATTAACTATTTTCCTTTCTGTTCTACGCTATACTGTTTTGTTTTTACCAATCGTCGTAGTAGTAATATCTTTACTTGTCTGAATAATATTTATTAGACGTCTATAGTTGTTTGAATTTCTTAGGTAACGCATTTTCTTGATTTATTTTTTCGACTAGTATGTTTTTTATTTCCTTATTGCAACTCTCGAAATGGTTTTATATTTGACCCACGACCTATTCATGGATTGAAATCAAAGAATCCGTCTCTGGGAACCTGTCGGAGCCTTACTAAACTACAGCCGGCACACGTCTTTTCAAATAAGCCATAGAGCCACATTTTCGCCTCTAATCGCCACTACTACACTATATTGTTTGTTTAGACTAATAATCTTAGATGTAGTAGTTTTTAATTATACGAATTGATTTAATGAATCGTTATAATTATTATAACTGTTTTTATTGCTTTATTGTTGATTTTTGTTTTGTTTTTTGTTTTTTTTTACCCTTTCATCTGTTCTGGTTCATTTGAAATTCTCCTGCTGGTTGTGCTTTCGTAGACAAATTAGTATCCAATTTATGACTAGTTAAGCTGCTTTAATTACATGTCTCGTTAACTGACCCATGCGTAATAAACTTCGATGAATATGAGTATATTTATCATTATAAATTATTAAGTAATTGTTTGATTCACGTTTATAAACGCCGACAACTTTAAAGAGCAAAAGTAACTCCGATAAACATGTTTGGAAGTAAATTGGGATCCCAGATACGGGCAAATAGTTAACCCCCATACTGGGGTCAAAAACACTATGAAAGTATAAAAAAAAAGGTTTTTATAGTAAAAATACCATCAATACATTTTTGAAGAAAAAAATATTACCAGCATTTTCTTCAGACAAATATTCTAGTTTAACCCATAAACAGGGTGTGATTGGTAAATTGTCGCCATTTTATATTTTTAATTTTGTGCATGTGCGTTCTTTGTTTTTGATTTTGTCGACTACACAGTATAATAGGGTCAGTTGGGCATTGTCTGTGAGAAAAGGTGCTCCATGACGCAATTCACTCTGCTAGAAATTTGAAAACGGCATGCTGTACTGCTTGGCATTCGCGCCGGAAGTTCCAATACGAACATTTCAGAGTGTTTAGGTATCAATCTGAGGACAGTGGAAAAGATTCGGAAAGAGTTAGATGAGTCTAATGGTGATTACGAAGGTACCGTAGCCCGGAAAACTCACTCTGATCGTTCTGATAAGAAAAGAACTCCCGAATTTGATAGTGAGGGCCTCAGACTTAACACGGAGCCCTACATAAAGTCCCTTGGGGAGCTAGTGCTGCCTTAGGAAGACCCTATTTCTGGCAACAGGACTCGGCATCATGCCACACAAGCAGGAGAACCCAATCATTGCTCTCAGACAATTTCTGCGACCTCACCACCGCTTACATCTGGCTCACCTAACTCCTAGACTGCAACCCTTTTGATTATTATGTGTAGGGCGGAGTTGAGTGAGAGACCAACAAAACTCCTTGTAACACCGAAGATGAAATGAAGACAAAGATTATGGCAGCGTTCACCAATTTAAACAAGGATACCGTCCAGAAGAGTTGCAAAAGATTCCGAAGTCGTTTGGAGAGCGTGGTTGCAGCCAATGGCGATTTTATTGAATAAATTTACTCTTTAGTACTTCGAGATATTGTTGTGTCATTTTGGTAAATATATCTGCTAAAAGAAGATGTCAGGGTTATTTTCATTTTTTGTGTAATTTAGACAATTTATCCATCGTACCCTGTATGTGTTGATGGTGTTTTTTTATCTTTGTTTTATTATCGACAGAAACATAGGATACAACTTTTTTTTTGTAAAAACAAAAGCCACATTGACTTGATCCTCTACCTTCCCCCCTTGTAAACGGTTTAGGATGATCGAAATTACTTGGAACATATGGGGTGCATTCCAAAAGATTTGAGACTTTTTTTTTCAGAAGAGGCATTTATTAACTACAAAACAAAATACAAACTTTTAATCTCTTTCAAAGTAGGGTACTCTTTGCTGTAGCGCTCCAGCCATACCGCGAAGAGCCCATGGAAGTCATCCAAAATACAGGTGTCTTGGACCCTTCTCACAGCCGCTTTCATTTTCTCAATCTCTTCAAAACGACAGCTCCTGGAGTTCTATGTAGACGCCAGTGACTGTTCAGACAACATTGACACTAATACTTTAACGTTGCACTTCTGATCAAACTTAATAACTTCTAGCAAGAGTGAAAGCAACGATTGCCCCTGAGGTTCTTGGGTCTCAGGGATTAAGTTCTGGACTGTAAGGACGATGGGGACAGTTTTGATACCCAGCTCTGTCAACATGTAATTTTATTGCATAACGAGCTTCCAAATTGTCTTCACGTCCCGAGTGCATTCCAAAAACTGGTCAGCTGTGACAAGCAGTTTTTAGTCGGATGTATTCAAAGAACTGTTACAATCGTCTCATTCAATCTGGGATAACAAAAATCGGCAAGTCAATTTATTAGATATACAGTAATGATGTACTAAAATTGCAATAACCTGCTTTTATAATTGCAATAACCTGCTTTTATAATTGCTTTTCCTAAAAATGAATGTCTCAAAATTTCAGAAATACACCTCGTAACACAAGTTCCCTTAAAAGTTTCCTCTCGACAACAAATTACTTATTTACACTATTTAAATTAATCGGACTGTAGTCCTCATCTTCATTTCCACATTCAAGAGGTTTCGGCCGTTGTACGCTCCGACATTCATCAGGTAATATTTATTGACACATAGCCCAGGGAATAAAAGCGTTGGTTTAGACATCCTAGAAGTGATTTGAACCAAAGAGTTGTGAGTTCAATACCTAGTCACAGCAGAGCGAACAAAAACTTGAATTACCACGGAGAATTAACTTAAACTGAGATATCCAGAAAAGTCAGGTCACGCAGAATTAGAACACTCTAACCCTCACCTCCCGCCTCGTGGACCAAATAAAGGGGGTGGTTCGAAATTTCAACTAATATCACCTGAAGAAGGCCAGAGCGTACAACGGTCGAAACGTCGTGGAATCTATATAATACAAAAATCTACGAATCGTGCGTACGTCGGCCGGTGGGCACATAATGCTTTAAGTTTCTTTCCACCTCTCTCTTTCAACTCCTCTCTCTTTCCACCTCTCTTGCTCTTTCCACCTCTCTCTTCCCACCTCTCTCTCTCTCTCTCTTTCCACTTCTCTCTCTTTCCACCTCTCTTTCTCTTTCCATCTCTCTATCTATCTCTCTTTCCACCTCTCTCTCTCTCTATCTATCTCTCTTTCCACCTCTCTCTATCTCTCTCTCTCTTTCCACCTCTCTCTCTCTCTCTCTATCTATCTATCTCTCTTTCCCCCTCTCTCTCTCTTTCCACCTTTCTTGCTCTTTCCACCTCTCTCTTCCCACCGCTCTCTCTCTCTCTTTCCACTCCTCTCTCTCTTTCCACCGCTCTTGCTCTTTCCACCTCTCTCTCTCTTGCCATATGGCTCTCTCTTTCTTTCCACCTCTCTCTCTTCCCACCTCTCTCTCTCTTTCCACCTCTTGCTCTTTCCCACCTCTCTTCCCACCTCCTCTCTCTTTTCCACCCTCTCTCTCTTTCCACCTCTCTCTCTCTTCCCACCTCTCTCTCTCTCTTTTCCACCTCTTGCTCTTTTCCACCTCTCTCTTCCCACCTCCTTTCTCTTTTTCCCTCCTCTCTCTCTTTCCACCTCTCTTGCTCTTTCCACCTCTCTCTCTCTTGCCATATGGCTCTCTCTTTCTTTCCACCTCTCTCTCTTCCCACCTCTCTCTCTCTCTTTCCACCTCTTGCTCTTTCCACCTCTCTCTTCCCACCTCACTCTCTCTCTTTCCACTCCTCTCTCTCTTTCCACCTCTCTTGCTCTTTCCACCTCTCTCTCTCTTGCCATATGGCTCTCTTTTCTTTCCACCTCTCTCTCTCTTCCCACCTCTCTCTCTCTCTTTCCACCTCTTGCTCTTTCCACCTCTCTCTTCCCACCTCACTCTCTCTCTTTCCACTCCTCTCTCTCTTTCCACCTCTCTTGCTCTTTCCACCTCTCTCTCTCTTGCCATATATCCCTCTCTCTCTCTCTCTCTCCACTCCTCTCTCTCTTTCCACCTCTCTTGCTCTTTCCACCTCTCTCTCTCTTGCCATATATCCCTCTCCCTCTCTCTCTCTCTCTCTCTCTCTCTTTCCACCTCTCAGTTAATGTGTGCGTGTTTATATTTCAGCTTCCTTTAAAGAAGCAATATTTTAAATATTTAAAAAATATTTTTTACCACATTTAAAAAATATTTTCAAGTGAATATGATTTTTAAATATTTTTGGCATATTAAAAAATATTTTTTTTATTTAATCTGATTTTTAAAAAAAAAATATTTTAAGTGACTAAGATTAAAATATTCGAGTTGTTTATACAGTAAGTAATTTTTTATGTCAACTTTCTTCAAACAGAGAGTTTTTTTTTATGTTGAAATCAACGTCAATGTTTTATAACCTGAACAGGTAGTGGCTCAACGGGTAGTCTAGTATGGCAATAAAACTGAGGACATCAGTTCGAACGACGCAAATAGCGTAAATAATGATGATTTTTAATGTTTTTCATAAAATTTTCTTACGAATCAATGCATTTTTGTTTCGTCTCTGTAGAACCTAAAAGTCAAATGTCGTTATCGTGCCGCATTTGAAACTCACTAAAATGCTTGATAGTCATTCTCCAATTCGAATATTTAAACGAAAGTTTACTAATAAATATACTATATACTATGTCATACTATGTCATATATATAATAAATATACCATATACTATGTTTAATATATGTCATATATAATGCAATTGATTAAGTCCATTAATTATTTAATATATTTTCTGTTTATACGTTATTTTTTATAGATACAATTTATTTAAGTAAATGCTCTGTTTTTAATTAAACTGTATCAATTACATTTAATGGCCTGAATGTTCGAGAATCTCGTAGAAAATATGCGTTCTCCGACAGTAAGCAAACCTGTATTTCTATACGGAAAAAGTCATTTGATCTGATGTGCTATACCATTCATCTAAAGAGGAGACTAGTTAGCAAAGTCTACATTACTGTTTATAAAGCAATAAGCAAAGTCCAAATTACTGTTTTTAAACATACAATCTTCAACGATTTTTCTCGATCGATCATATCTTCACGAAACGTATTTTAACGTAAACAATGACAACATAAAATGAAATTAAGTCCGACAATTATTTAATATATTTTCTCTTTATACGTTATTTTTATAGATACAATTCATTTAAGTAAATGCTCTGTTTTTAATTAAATAGTATTACTTACATTTACCGAGAAATTTCATAGAAATATCATTGTTTACGTTAAGATACGTTTGATGAGCAGATATGATCGGTTGAGAAAAATCGTCGAAGATTGTATGTTTAAAAATTAAATTTTATGCCATGTGTCCTCAAGGATAAAGGCACAGTGGATAAAAGCGTTGGTTAGATCCAGTGACAGGACCCAAAGAGTGTGAGTTCAATACCCGTTTAAGGCAGTGGAGAACTTTCAGAGGGAAATTAACAGGAGATAACTGATAACTGACATCCATTAAAACATGGCACGTGGAACTAGAACAGTCTACCCCAGTGAGCGAAATAAAGGTTTCAGTTCGATATTCTAATCACCTGAACAAGGCTGGAGCGTACAACGTTTGAAACGTTGTAATAAATATGGCGACAAAGATGAGGACAATAGTCCGAATAATGTAAATAATGTACATAATACTTCATCTCAGAAATATAGACAGATACTGAAAGGCCGAAACATTGTAATAAATATGGCGACAAAGATGAGGGCAATAGTTAAATAATGTAAATAGTGTACATAATACCTCATCTCAGAAATATAGACAGATACTGAAAGGCCGAAACGTTGTAATAGATATGGCGACAAAGATGAGGACAATAGTCCGAATAATGTAAATAATGTACATAATAGCTCATCTCAGAAATATAGACAGATAATTTTCGAGTTCTGTTAGAGAACGCATATTTCCTACGAAATTTTTCGAACATTTAAACCGGTAAATGTAATTAATACTGTTTAATTAAAAAAGATAGCATTTACTTAAATAAATTCTATCTATGAAAATAACGTATAAACAGAAAATATATTAAAGAATTGTTATATATATTTATATGTGTGTTTTAATTAGTAGCATTCAAGTTTAAGATTTGCCTTTGTTTTTTTTGACTCCAAATAACGCTCCTTCTTGAAAAACTTTGATTTCTTGTAGAAATCCAGGAAATATTGAATAATTCTCGTCAGATAAGAAGGACAGGTAAGAATTGGTAATTACTAAAGACTACTAACTTACTAATCAAGTGATTATTGACTATGAAGAAGTTTTGTTTCAATACTAACTAAATAGTCTAACACCCTTGCTGGACGTGCATATAAATTCTGTATACGTTGAATATAGATGTAGTTTTTTTTTTCGTTTTACTTTCACAGTTTCTATCGCTCCATTTGTTTATTCAGTTTACTAACTCGACACGTTTTTAGAGGAAGGCACCTGTAGAAGCACATAACTAATCCATCTAAATGTATCACTCTGTATTTCTCCTCTAATTGTTTTTGTTTTTAAAAACTTTAAATTTGCATATTTTTGTGTGACATTATATGGGCAATATCACGTCAGCTGTTCCGGAACAACGATTGCTTACGCTGTTCTCACCATGATCGAGGAATATGTCTTGTGCCACTATCCGATGCATTGGCAGAAGACTCAGGACAAAAAAAAATCCAGCAAGATAGCGAGTGTAAAACACTCCAAGACAAAGAAATCTCTCCCGAGATATCTCGTCAACCGCACCAGGACAAGAAAATATCCCGCAACACATTTTGTCAGTCATTTCGGGCGAAAAGAAATTATCTCGCTTGATAATTTGTCACTCACTCTTGGATAATGAAATATCTCGCGAGATATCTCGTCAGGCGGACCTGGACAAAGAAATATCTCGCGAGATATCTCATCAAACCGCACAAGGATTAAGAAATATGTCTGGAGATATCTTGTCAACAGCACCAGGACAAAAGAAATATTTCGCGAGATATCTCATAAACCACACCAGGGCAAAAGAAATATCTCGCGAGATATCTCGTCAATCGGACGTGGACTAAGAAATATCTCGCGAGATATCTCGTCAAACCGCACAAAGATTAAGAAATATCTCTGGAGATATCTTGTCAACAGCACCAGGACAAAAGAAATATCTCGCCAGATATCTCGTAAACCACACCAGGGCAAAAGAAATATCTCGCGAGATATCTCGTCAATCGGACGTGGACTAAGAAATATCTCGCGAGATATCTCGTCAAACCGCACAAGGATTAAGAAATATCTCTCGAGATATCTTGTCAACAGCACCAGGACAAGAGAAATATTTCGCGAGATATCTCGTAAACCTCACCAGGACAAAAGAAATATCTCGCGAGATATCTCGTCAAACCGCGCCAGTAAAAAGAAATATGTCGCATTTCATCAGTCGTTTCCGATTAAAAGAAATATCTCGCCAGATACCTTGTCATCGGCACGTGAACAATGCAATATCTCGCCAGATACTTTGTCATCTCCAAGTGAACAATGCAATATCTCGCCAGATACCTTGTCATCGGCACATGAACAATACAATATCTCGCGAGATGACATGTCAGCCTTTTCTAAAACAAAGGAATATCTTGTCAGCCGTTTCCAGTAGATTGAAATGGGTGCAGGACAACTCAACGCCCCCGACTCAACACCCCCGACTCAACACAGCCGACTCAACACAGCCGACACTGCGCCTGGGCAACTCAGGCGCGAGACAACTCAGCACCAGAAAAACATAACCTTTTTTATAACTGAATAAAAGTATTTTTTTAAGAATTAAAACATTAGAAGCACATATTTTTTTTTTTAAATACGGCATTTAAAAAGGCAAAATGTAAAATGTGATCCAGTTTTTTTTGTTTTTAATTATTTTTAATAAAGTCAGTCGTAAATTATTCCATTATTTTTATTAAAATATTTTAGGGTGTCAATTTACTTTATTAAAATATTAGTTTACATTACGATTTACTTTATTAAAAATAATTAAAAACAAAAAACTGCTTAATTGTTTTGCATTTTCGATTTACCTAATTAAAAATAATTAAAAACAAGTGTTTTATTTAATTATTTTTTATATGTCAATTTACTTTATTAAGAATAAATTTCATTGCGGTTTACTTTATTAAAAATAATTACAAACAAAAAACTGGTTCATATTTTACATAAAGCCTTTTCAAATGCCTTATTTAAAGAAAATTATTCACTAATTAAGGTTTTAATCCTTAATAAATTACTTTTATTCGGTTCTAAAAAAAAGTTATGTTTTGCGGGGGCTGAGTTGTCTCGGTTCTGAACTGTACCGGAGCTCAGTCGGTCGTGTTGAGTCGGCGGTATTGAGTCGGTGGTGTTGAGTCGTCGGTGTCGAATTGTCTCTTTGCGGCTTAAAATAATTAAGAAATACATAAACTTTCTCTGTGTATTTGTTAATAACATTGTCTTTGGTGCTTCTGCTCTTGCGTGTCAAGGCGGAAGGTTTGATTTAAAATGAAATTTTAAATGGCCGTCATCATTCGAGAATGTAATCATTTCCAACACGCTTTTCGTGGTTGCTAATCTTCAGTTGGTTTGTAAGAATCCCCAAAATATGTTTTATTATCTATTTACAGGTTTTCCTCGTCATTATGAATGCATGTTTTTTGGGGTTTTTTTTTCTTTTCTTTTTTTGCTTTAGGCCAGCGCTTCTTAAATTATGGGCCGTGACCCTATTTGGTCTCACGAAGCGAAATAATGGGGTGGCGAAAATTTAAGATGATGCTCTTCACAACCGCTACGGCAATAAACCGCGCGTGCGGCGATACTGCGATGAGAGCAGTGACAACAGATGTATTTTCAGTGTAATGGTTGGTACCTGGGGTCGTGAAAAATCTCACCACGAAAAATGGGGTCATGAATAAAAAAAAGTTTAAGAAGCGCTGATCTAGACGGACGCTAACGTCTGATTATTTCTTATCGTCTTAGACGATACGCACTTGACAATGTTGTTGCTTGCTCCCTAGTTTCATTTAGTTTCATTTATACAAATATTCTTCCTCTTTATGTTTCCCTCCCCAATGTCTATTGTCCTCCA